GGGCTTTTAAATAGTAATTGAGGGCAAATAAAGTATTGAAACATTAGAAGTCTTCCTAGTGCTGCCAGGCACAGTGGCTCATGCCTGTAATCTCAACACTTTGGGAGGCTAAGGCGGCGGATAATGAGGTCAGGGATTCAAGACCACCCTGACCAACATGGTGAAACCACATCTCTACTAAAAACACAAAAATTAGCCAGGCATGGTGGCACACACCTGTAATTGCCGCCATTTGGGAAGCTGAGGCAGGAGAATCACTTGAACCTGGGAGGTGGAAGTTGCAGTGAGCCAAGATTATGCCACTGCACTCCAGTCTGGGTGACAGAGCGAGACTCCATCTTAAACTCCCCCACAAAAAAAGTCTTCCTAGTGCTATAAACAGAAGATAGTCATGCAGAAATAATTTATAAAAATATTTCAGATTCATTTCACATAGGGACCAATTATAGTCTTTTTGAAGGTCTCTTGTAACGTTTTAGCTACAAGCAGTATGTTCATTCTTTCTAATAAATGAATCCTTACCTTTTAGATTATATACTACTTTTTGCAATCAGTTCTGACCTTTAGAGAAGTTAGAATGAGATATACAGTGTGAAACTGAATTAGTCTTTTTCTAAATCTTGATAATGGGAACTGCATACTTTCTCAAGAAGCACATAAGCTACCATCATCTCAAAGGCTTAAGGATCGTTGGTAATTAGAATATCCTTTCGTATGTGCAAACTTTGCTTTGCTGAATTAAAGATGCTATATTAAAAAGTTGACAGCCAGGGGGAAAATACCAAACAAAACCAGAATGAACACTAATTTATATTAAAGTAATTCAATTATATATTTTAGAACATAAACAATTCTCAGAGTTATGCATGTTTGCTTCAACCTGCAATGATTAACAAGCACTTTTAAGAACACTCTATAATATATGAAGTTCAAGCATTCCACAGGTCATCTGTAATTTATAAATCATTCAGATTTCAAAAGTCAGTTTAGAGAGTTGGAAAATATAAAAATTTAACTACTATATTAAGAGAAAATATTTCAAAAAAGATCTACAGGGCACAACTCTGATGCAGTGTAACAAGTAAATGAAACAAAAATCAGAAGACTACGCAGTTAAAATAGGGGATTACAAGGAGAGCAGATGATATATGTCCATAAATTAGTCTAAGAAAGATTCAGCCAAATTATATGTCTAATGCATAACATAATGCATGAAATAAGTATCCCATGTATATCTAAATTTCCTCTATTAACCGATATTTTATAAACAAGTAGCAGAATTTTTCCAAATCCAAGCTATAAATCTCAGAACTCACTGAAGGATTTGTGGGTTAACGTGTTTTGTTGTTTTTTATTGTTTTGGGTTTTTTTTTTTAATCTTTTGTTATAAGCAGAAATCTTTTTTCTTTTTTTTTTTTTTGAGATGGAGTTTCACTCGTTACCCAGGCTGGAGTGCAATGGCTGCGATCTCGGCTCACCGCAACTTCCGCCTCCTGGGTTCAGGCAATTCTCCTGCTTCAGCCTCCTGAGTAGCTGGGATTACAGGCGCGCACCACCATGCCCAGCCAATTTTTTTTGTATTTTCAGTAGAGACGGGGTTTCACCATGTTGACCAGGATGGTCTCGATCTCTTGACCTCGTGATCCACCCGCCTCGGCCTCCCAAAGTGCTGGGATTACAGGCGTGAGCCACCGCGCCCGGCCTATAAGCAGAAATCTTATGCATTTTTATACATGAAAGCTACATGACTGATATAGTAAATCAAATTCTAAAGATAAATTATTTCACTTAATCTTCAGCCTCCAAAAATATGCATCCTTATATCTACATATAGAGTTTATATCTTTTAGTCAGATTCTTATATTTAAATATTTTTACCAAAAAAAACCCCAAAATATTCAAATGGTTTAAAGAACAGTCTTCCAAAAATACTAAATTGTACAACAAATATTGAAAATGAGCATATTTTCAAGACAAATAGGACTATAATTTATCCACCTGTATAATAAAAGAATTTCAACTTTATTCACCCTTCCTCCCTAATTCATACAAGTAAGCCAAGGCAATAAATATACCAACCACTATTCAGAAGTCAATTTTGGAAATATTCCACATAGAATTCCAGTTTATGTCTCTGGTGCAGAGGGAGAAAAGTCATTCTTTCCTTACCCAAGTCATAGGAAAAAAAACAGTAACATATTAAAAGCTTAATTCCAGCAAGTGTGACAAAGGAATTTGTAATTTTCATGTTTCTATTTAAACATGAAATGTTTCAAATTTCCAACTGGCTTGTAGTTCCCAAGTTGATGCATGACCCTTACTTGATACAACTACCAGAAAAACGGCTCTGATGAACTTTCTGAATACCGTAGTTTAAAAAACAAACAAATCTAGCTGCAAACTATTAATATATATTTTAACATCACTCTTTAATCCATAATTTGAGAAAATTTTCTAAACTTAAAAATAATGAGTGATCAGAAAACAAATGTCAACTTTTAAGACAAATGTAGCTATTTCTTCAAAAACTGAAGGGGTTCAATAGGGATGATTAATAGATATAAAAAACAGAATGAATACGATCTAGTATTTGACAGCACAACAGGGTGACCATACGCAATATATTTAATTGTACATTTTAAAATAAGAGTATAATTGGATTGTTGCATCACAAAGGGTAAATGCTTGAGGTGATGGATACCTCATTGACTATAATGTGACTATCATGCATTGTATGCCTATATCAAAATATCTCATATAACCCATAAACACCTACTATGTACCCATAAAAATTAAAAACTAAACATAAAACTGAACAAGCACCTTGGGAAAATGCAGTACCCTTAAAGAGAGGATATGCCCGTAATTTCAAACCGGGATTTCAATATTGTTTTAGATGTTAGCTTTTCATTAAATTTCGGCCATTTGAAAGTTACAAACCTTAGACAAAGTCTTTATTTAGTTTTGTCTTTATTTTTGACTATTTTTCAAATGGATACTTATAATTACATGAAAAGTTTACAATATATTTAATGTCTAAATAAAGATAAAAGTTTCTCATACTCCGGCTAAGTTCCATATGTGGAGAATGGTCATTTGCAAACTTTATTTCTAAAATTCTTTTCACTGTCACACAGCAAAACACCAACACTTGATAAATTCAAATTATAAATATAACCTTACTGAATGCTACAAATTGCATGCAATAGCTAAGTCTCTTCAAGTACACAGTAACAGTTCTACAGCCCATGGCATGGAAGATGAGGGTAAAGATCAGTACACTAATAAACTGAGGTCTTTAAATTAAAACTATTTTTCAGTGGTGATGCTGCATTTAGTTACAAAAACACCTGGTTACACAAGTGTACCTTAGAATTCTGGAAAAAGGTAACCAAAAGCTTTTGATACAGTAGTCCCTCTTAAGAAACTAAACGCACCTGGTATCTAAGAAGAGTATACGAAATGACACAGGTGTAAGCCTAGACACTGCTGGTAGTTATCATGCTGGAGGCAAACACTATACAGTCCACATCTGCAACCTAATTTTGCTTCAGCATCCCCAGAGACTTCGAAAATATTTCTTTGGGTAGGTTGCAAAACAGTGCTTCCTCTTTTATTCTCATCACCCCCATTACGATACAAAGCAACACAGACAAAATCAAAAGGCCAACTGCAAGGGCTTAAACACACACACAAAGCATCTTCTTTCTAGCTCCCAAATCGGTTATTTATTCCACCTGTTTGTAAATCCACAATTCCACAATAACACAAACTGCCTGCTGAAAGAAAGGAGGGAGGAAAGAAAAGAAAAAGAGGAAAAAGAAAGAGAAAGAAAGGCAAATTAATGCTTCGGAGTCATTACTCTTCCACCTAGGCTTGGGGGGTGGGGGATGGTACAAAAACAATGGATATTGAGGGGTTAGGGGGAAAAAATCGTCTTGCCCCAAAGCCTCTTGTATTAAGAGCCTGGGGGAGTCGAGAGACAGAGACTAGTTTTCCTCTCTCCGTAAAAGCTGGGCTATCACGGGGAGAGGTTGCCATCGGGCATGTTCTGCGAGGCAGTCTCGAAGGGCTACAACTCGCTTCGCCGCCAGGCAACACACCCAGAGCCGATCCAGCACACTTCACTCCGGGATTTTTAGGGAGAGGAGAACTGGAGAGCGCGGTGGGCTCTAGGGAGGGAGCGCCGAGAGACCCCACCCTGTAGGACCGCCGCTGCGCCCGGGCCCTCGCCAACGATTTACACGACCCGGGCACCCCGCGGGCTGAGCCCGGGACCGCCGGGGGCCGAGAAGGGCGGGACCGTCCGCCGGGCGCCCCCGGCCCGCGCCCTCGCGCCGGCTTGCCCTCGCCTAAGCGCTGTCCGGGCCGCCTGCCGCCACCGCAGGCCCAGCCCCGGCCGCTGTCAGAGCCGGCCGCCTCCCTCTCCGCGCCGGGCTGCGGGCTTCCACGCCAGCCGGTTTCGAGGGCCCCGCAATCACGGAGACAGCACCCAGGAAAGCGGCGGCTGCGGCGGCGCCTCCCAGGGCCCCGGCCCCTCGGGCCTCGCCCCAGCGCCGCCGGCTCGCGCCTGTCAGGGCGCGCGGGGCCTCCCCCTACCGACAACCAGCCTGACTGCCCAACGGACAGGAAAGTAGGCAGGAAGAACCGATCAACACACACCCTCCACCTCATCGGCCCCGGGTTACCGTCAGGAGCCCCGACTCCGCCATCCTCCTCGCTCACCCTCCTTCCTCCTCTTCCTCCTCCTCCTCCTCCTAAGAAGCGACGCTGCCCAACCGCCGCCCCCCGCCCGCCCCGCCCCTCCCCCACTCGCCCCGCCCCGCCCCGCCCGTCCCTCCACTACTCTCGCTCCGGCCGCCACGCCCCACCCCTCCGGCGTGGGCCCGTCACTCGCTAGGCAAGAAAAATGGGCGGTGCCGGGGCAAGTGAAGCTGCCCAATTAGAGAGGGGCACTGGCGCCAGCTTCCCTGTCTCCGCCCTTTTCCTTTACTCAGCTCCTCTACGCCGTCTCCCGCCCACTGGGCGCCGCTGGCTAGCCGGGCTACAGAGCAAGCCTCCGGCAGGGTAGAGTGACAACTCCCCGACCGGAAGTTACTGTTGAAGCTAAGGTGGCCATAACTGATAATGGCAACAGGAGTTTCCTGGCTTCCTGTTTCCCGGGTGACGTAGATTTTTTTTTTTTTTTTTCCTTCGCCCCTTTCACCGTTACCCGGGGCAACAGCTGAGACGTCTGGGAAGGGATGCATCTGTAAGTAAGCCCAAAGAGGTGCCGTGGGTGACCAGAAATCCCATATTAGACAAGCTAATTCATACTCTGGACTACGGGTCCGGTTTCCTGGCCCTTATTTTACAGAGACGTCTGGTCACTTACCTAGCTGGACCACCGTTTAGAGCTCCGAAAATCCCTCTCCTGCCCGGAAGTTGTATTTGGCACTTCCGAATAGGGTCATGGCGGAAGGGTGTGACTAGCCTCGCCGCCCGTGCCCCAGGGAATGCCCATTCCTGACCTCAGTTGCAAAGTGAGGTGAGTCCCTCGGCCCCCACCAGTGTGGCGGACCCGGGCCGGACAGTCCCTGTGGGACGGAGCGCTGAAATGGCGAGCGGGACTCAGAGCCGCTTCCGTTGGAAGGTGGTTTTCTTTCCGGGCTGGCCTGTCGGCGGTCCGCCTCGCCTCCGCCCCCCTGAGGCTCTCTGCGGGGTGAGGCCGGTTTACCGGCCGCCCTAGCCTAGCCAGAGCCAGCCGGGCTGGGACGGCCCCAGCGGGGAATGGGCGCGGACCTCGGGGCGGAGCCCCTAACTCCGGCGAAATAGAGCCCCTGACCACGCCTCCGCAAGTTCCTATTAAGTACTTTCACCCCCAGACCTTCGGAGGCAAGAGAATTCGGGAACTTGAGGAAATCATTATAGACTCTCAGCTGTGAAAGAAAAAGATGAGTCCCTGTTACCAGGGCAAGACCTCAGTCTTTTTCGCCTGCCACTTGCCTTACTGTTCTGATTTTCCCCGCTTTCCGCGTCTCTCCTTTGTAAACTTTGACTGCGGTTCTGGGTGGAGAATATACTATCCTAATCCTGCAGGTCTACAGTTTATTAAACAACGCGCTGAATATTTGAAACTACTGTATTGCTTTTGTATGACCCTTTACAAAGTAAATCATACATTATCTTGTAGTTTCTTCTGTATGCTTGAATCAAGAACTCTTTCATCTTGATAATACCGGGTTGGATGCTTTAAAGCTGCAGCAAAAAGACCAGAACTTTCAGGTAAATGAAAATTGTTAATATCCAGCCAGTCAACAATAAGAATGCAAACTTACCTTCTCTACTTGATTTCTACTTCCTTAGTACTCACACTCTAGCCAGGATGAACTCTCTTGTTTCTTTGCGGTTACTGAAATCTATTGTAGCACTCTCTTTTTGTGATTCTCTATCTGATTCTGTTATCTGTGGGGATGTGTTTCCAGATTCTTCCCAGCAGGAAGTAATTTCCTCTGAATTTATCTAGCATTTTTTTTTACATCTTTTAGGACAATCAGTATTTTATATAATAGCTGCTTGTGTTTTTAGCTTCACTGCCATGTCTACACCTAGATGGAATGGTTTGTATCAGATTCGTCTTCCTGTCATTTTCACCCTGCACATGATTTTATTTTGGTAAATACTTTCTGAAAGTTTGAATATATTGGGTGTCTCTTCGATGCCCAGGACACTTCCAGCTGAGTTTCAGAGACCTTCAATTTATCAGAAATTCAGCAGAGCCTCTGCTACTCAACCTTTTCTTGCATTTCCCCCATGAAGTCTTTTCTGACATGATTTTTCCCCAGTGTTTTATAATTCAAAGTGTTGATATATTTAAAAGCTGAAAGAATTAAAGAATTCATGTATCCTTCTTCTATATGCAGCAGTTAACATTTTGCCATATATTTTTCATTCCTCCTCACTTTTTCATTGTCATTGAACTATTTGGAAAAAAGTTGCATATACCTGTTGTTAGGCAGACACCACTAAGATTTCCAGCATGAATTTCCTAAGACTTGTGAAGTTCTCCAGCAAAACACATTATCATTATTACAGCAATTTTGTAATGTTTAAAATCTAGCCCAAGTGCAAATTTTCCTAACTTACCCAGGAATATATTTTATACCTTCTCCTTCCCAGTCCTGCAAAAAATAAAAATCAAGATCCAATCAAAATTTATATATTGTGTGTGGGTATTGTAATTCTTTAGCTTTAATTTAGTAGAGAGCCCCCATCATCCCCCCCACCCACCCCTGTGACATTGGCATTATGAAGAGTTCAAGCCATTAGTCTTTTTGGAAATGGGCCCCCTTTTTCTTCATGTAAACAAGAAGTTAGTCTAGAGGCTTAAGTGGAACTTTTTTTTTTTTTTTGAGGATACGTCACAGTATTCATACTTTTCCAGTCATGATTAAGCCTTCTCAAAGGCAACTATATGCACCTTTGCTGTGAGTTGCTGGTTAAATCCATCACCCTTCTCAGCATACTTACCCGCCTCTGGTGTCCTACAAAGTAGTGAGTAGCATTTAATCCTGTGTGTAGAGTTACGTGTTAGTGCCTTGGATCGGCAACACAGACTAACTACCTTTAAAAAAGTGTTGCTGCTGCTTTGCCTATTCTTGGAGCTGATGCAATGTATTTCTGCAGTAATGTGTACTGATGTCAGCATAGTTTCATGAGTTTCAACTCCTGGCACCCTGTAGACGTTGTTGAAAGATGTGTGGGCCCTGTAATTCAAATACAGATGAATCTTGATGTTATCAAAGCAAATACCAAGGCAACTGTTGGCCATCTGGTTACATTCCAATTTAGGCGATGTTATTTTTCTCCCTGAAATTCTCTTGCAAGTCTTAATTGGTCCTGGTGTTTTTGTGATAGCTTTTTGGTAGCATTAAGTAGAGTCTATTAAAAATTGCAAAATCAAGATTATACTTGACACTTAGTACATGAGATACATTCCCTGCCCAATGAATAGAGAAGTGTTTGTGGAATTTACTTCATAATCACAAGAGGAAGACTCTCAAGACTGCCAACCTCATATACTCCTCCTAGCCTAGACTTATATTTGATCATGAAAGATAAGTGAAAGGCAAAAACTACATTTAGGGAGCAGAAGAAAATGCTCTGAGAGGGCAAATCTCTTAGATTGGTGTAGAATGTTTTTAGTCATCATATTGAAAATACATAATGCAGCCCATTAGTTGCTTCCTTTGTGTACAAGAGAATTTGCTTGTGTGAGAATACTCTAGATTTAAGTCAGGCAATACCAATTAAGATCATAGGTTTTAGCGTCAGACCTGAGTTTCAGGAATAAGACTATTCAATTAGCTGGATGATCTTACACAGCCAATTCAGTCTATTATCTATTAAATGAGGTCTTGGTCAGGCATGGTAACTCACACCTAGAATCCTGGCACTTTGCAAGGCCAAGGCAGGTGGATCACTTGAAGTCTGGAGTTTGAGACCAGCCTGGCCAACCTGGCGAAACGCTGTTTGTACCAAAAAGGCAAAAATTAGCCTGGTGTGGTGGTGTACTTCTGTAGTCCCAGCTACTCAGAAGTCTGAGGCACCAGAATCGCTTGAGTCTGGGAGGCAGAGGTTGCAGTGAGCCAAGATCGCAGCACTGCACTCCAACCTGGGCAACAGAGCAAGACCTTGTCTCAAAAAAGAAAAAAAAATAAATTTTTTTTTTAATGGAGTCTTAAAACTGCTAAGGATTGTTGTACAGAATTAATTCAAATATGTATACAGTGCCTTACCTTGGTTTGTAGCACATGGAATGCAGTGTATGGTGATGAATAACTTCTAAAGCAGTCCAAATATTGACATCGAATATTTAGCGAGTAAAGGAATGAATCTTAAGACAGTAGTTCTCTAAGTTTAACGTAGGGAACTTAATTAAAAGTTAGGGTCCAACTGCCGTGACTCATGCCTGTAATCCTAACACTTGGGGAGGCTGAGGAGGACGGATCACTTGAGCCCAGGAGTTTGAGACCAGCCTGGGCAATATGGCGAAACCCTGTCTCAAAAAATACAAAATATTAGTGGAGCAGGGTAGCATGTGCCTGTAGTCCCAGCTACTTGGGAGGCTGAGATAGGAGAATTACTTGAGCCCGGAAGCTCAAGGCTGTGGTGAGCAATGATCACATGACTGCACTGTAGTCTGAGCAACAGAGCAAGACCCTGTCTCAAGAAAATAAATAAGAAAAAAAGTATTTTTATTTAACAATTCTAATTTCTGGAGAACTCCAGAAAAATCTATATTTTTAATCATTGTACAGGGAGTTTTGATGCAGATGATCTGGGGACTGGGCTTTGAGAGGCACTACGTAAAGTATAAAGCAACTTTTCGCTTTCCTTGCGTATTGTTGAAATAGCTAACTAAATATTTCAGGAGCTGAGCAAACACTTTTTTAAAAAGGTTAATAGCCAGCATTTTTGGGACCACTGCCTAGTACTGAATTTTGAAATAAGAAAGCTTATTAGAAAAAGACATTTTGCATGAGTAGGATGTATCATTACTAACTTAATAGTAGTGTCTGCTACTGGATTATCTCTGAGCCACTGGCATCATCCAGGTTCACCCAAGAACAATTCCCATTCTTAGTCCTAGGCACATTTCAGAAGCTAGACACCACACATTTTATTCACATGAGCTTGAATTAATTAGCTAAATTGAACACATTGCAACATTTTTTTTACCAGCAGATGCCAGATAGCAAAGCAGAATAGAGTCTACTGTAGTCTCCAATATATGACATATGATGTTACTTGGCATCTCCAGATAAACATTATCAATCCAAATTAAGCATTCTGCTAGCATGTGGGCAGTTGCTTGAGTAAGAGTGAGCATTACTACTTTATGTTTGCTGAAAAACGCATTCTTTCTGGGCTCCCCTTTTCACCTTTTTCTCATTTACGTTCTGAAATCTAGTATGTTTTTGAAAATTTATCTTTCAGTTAACCACAAGTCTTGGATAAGACAAAAGATAAAAATTTTGTTATTCTCCCATTCTCACGACCGACACTAGGCAGGTTGAATTTTGTATAAAGGAGCTAACTTAATAAATATTCACAAAAGAAATACTCTTTACATACAGTATCCTTTGCAGTCCATGGTCATGACTGCTCCTGACTACTACTTCAGTTCCCAGAGATTGTATTTTTGCATCTCAATGTCCATTAATGATAAAATTAGACAGCTTGACCTATGTTCACAGTGACTCTATGTTTTACTGTAGTTGCAAAGTCAAATGCCTACAATGATTGGGCAAGTAAGGTAAGAGGAAACAATAAGCAGTAGTAAGGACTGGAGAATTCCAGAGCATATGCTTACCTAAGTTAAGCATCACTTCCCAGCCCTAGCCAAATTTCGTCGTGTTGAAATGTGGGCTTGATGTTGCCAGATTTGTCAAATAGAGCTAAAATTTGGATTTTGTGTGAAATGTCCTGATTTTTAAACATTGGCTAAATACTTTTTAAATATCTGTAAACCAACAAATATTTAAGTGGATAGGATCAAGGGTTACCAGTTTATGACATGTTATTTCTTAACATGAAAACATGAGTGGTGTTTTTGTTGAGAATCTCAAAATGCTTCAGAAGTGTTTTCTTTTTGCCATATGTCAAGTGCATTGGTCAGGGTTCAGCAACAAGTCACCTGTCATCTCCATTAGACATTCAACATAGATTCTTACATACAATGAGCTTCTGTTCCCTTGGTTACAATTTTAAAGATTTTAACCTTTGCTGCCCTTTTATAAGTTTGTTCACATTTTCTCAACTTGGAGTTCTATTATGAAATAGATTTTCTCTATTATACTTTTTAAAACATTTAAGAACACAATTTGGCAGCACATGCTGCTTCAAAAGTAAGTGAAACAGGTTTTTAAAGAAAAGCACCTTTAAATAGATCATGCTGTGTTATAGGTACCATGATATTTATGAAGATTCAAAGATTTTTAGAGACAGAAGATTCCTTTTGGTAATCTAGAACAAGTCTTTATTATAACAATATGAAAATTAGTCCCGGAATAATAAATATCATACTGTATTTCTAAGGACTTTTACATCTACTTATTGCTAACACCTTACAACCCAGTACAGATAATGAACATATTTTGTATGAGAAAACCAAGCCTCTGATTGGCTAAGAAAGGTATTCAAGGTCACACAGCTAGTTAGTGGTGTGGCCAGAGTAGAACCATGTACCCCATAAAAGTATAAATGTGGGCCAGGCACAGTGA